AATTGTAGCCTCATTGATATGCAAAATGTAATACCCCTCTACAATATTTGTAGGTTGTAAGTCTTAATAAAAGATCACAAGCCATAGACATCACTCTTTAAACCTGAAAAAAACATTAAATTAGATTCTAATTATACTTATATAAAAGTCTATGACAAACAAAACTAAAATTAACTAACCAATATAAAATAAAATTTTCAAGATAGTATGACATTGTTAGAATCAATATAACTCTTTAAGTATAAGTAAAATTGTTTTGCAAATGCAAGAATAAACAAAATATTAGTAAAATTATAAAAAAAAAATAATGAGCTTATATGAACTTTATAAGAATTAAAAACTAGATTAGCTATAATTTGAAATACAGAAGATTTTAGTAATAATGTCTTGAAGTTGAAATATATAAAACATAATATGTATTTAATAGTATAGATAAGCATTTAGATCTTTTTAACTAATATCAATATTAAAGATAATCTAGTGATACAATAAAATAGCAATACAAAGAATTTAAATAAGCAATGCTTATAATTGAATTGCAGATATAATAGCTAATATAAAACCTATACATAAACAGATTACTTAAATTAGACATCAAAAATGTATGTATAGTTAGATATACTCTCTAATATAAGATAGCTCCTTTAAAGTATTTAACTATAAGCTCCTATGTTCTACTATACTAAATAAAAAAACTCTAGTTTTAAAAAAAACTAGTTTAAAATAATAATAATAATAATAATCTAAACCTGTATTTTAAAAAAAATTTAATATAATTTGCATTTAAAGAACATGTATTAAAAAAACTTTGCAGAAAATTTTAATTTTTTTAAATATATTTACAATATAATTAATATATAGTAAAAATATAATTAAAATATATTTTTTATATTTTTTGCCTATTAAATATCTTGTAACTAGCTATTAATTATATAATTATTATATAGTAAAAAGGTTAGAAAATAAATATTTAAATTTTTTTTTTTTTTTTTTTTTTTTTTATTTTAACCCAGGAAAGCCCCAGGACGCCGGTGGCGTGCTTTATTAAGATGCCAATGTTATGTATCTATGTTACATAAATTAGTATATTAATATCGTTCTATTTACTATCTTAGCTAGTAATTCTGTCTATTAGATTAGACATTTTAGCAAACAGTCTATATTGTGACTACTTTTCCTGCTAGAGAGTTTCAAAATTTTGACCGCTTTATTGAGTCTATATTTAGTCACCAAATCTAATATAGGAACTGGAATTGGGTTGCCCCATTTTGCCTGCGAATACCAATACCATATCTCATATATGGCATTGATATATATCCAGTTTCTTAATTGCACGTTACCCGTGTACTGATCATTGAACATTGCATCTAAATTGATTGGCCTTTCCAAATTGATGACAGGAGTTACCAACTCCAGCGCAAGATTCCAAATTTTTTTACTTGTTGGGCAGTCGATAGCAAAATGATCTATCGTTTGTAGTGTACTAGGACAACTTGGACATTCACCTGGGTCCTCAGGGTTGATATACTTGAGTCTATAACCCAGTGGAAGGGCTTTATGTTGCAGGCGCCAGTATATATTCTTTTTGACATTAGGGACCCACTTAATGTTCATCCACTTCCAGCTATTCTTTTTTGCCTCGTCTATCAGCTGACTCCGGTTCTTAATGTTGAGAAGTTTAATTTCCTTTAAGTATCTGGACATGCTTTTAACTGAAAATTCTTCACCAGAGGCGTTCGCAATGGATAAGCTTTCCCTATTCCACGGCCAGCTTTCAGCGCTACCTTCGATTCTACCATTCACACGTTTCCAAGCATTTACATAAGGCCTCCAATGTTCTGGCCAGCCCTTCAGTTTAACTGGTCTTCTGTTTAGTGCAGCTTTCACTGTAATGTTCCTTTTAGATTTTAACTCCTTTTCAATAATTACCCTTTCTATCCTGGTCCATAGGTTATTTTCTGTAAGGAGTTTTAACTATATACTTGTTAGACGTGCGTCAATCAGATCTGGCAATGTTGGGGCATTCAGGCCCCCATGTATTGCAGGGAGTTGAAAAATCGTATACTTTGGAAGAATTCTGGATGTTGCTTTGATCCATTTTTCGAGCATACCGTTGATAATAGCTAACTGTTTTCGTGTTGGTGGTGCTAAGTAAGCTGTGTACCATATTTTAGAAATTACCACTGATTTTGCTAGAAGAATTTTTCCTTCATAAGAAAGGTTACGGACTGACAAATCCCCAATTTGCCTTCCTATCTTGTTTATAATGTCTTTCCATAGGTGCTTGTAAATTAAGCCTCGTGGTGTTATTTTATACCCTAGCACCATTATGGGTTCGTTAGTTTCTATGTACTGAAAATTTTTGTAACCTTCTAGTTTTGTATCTCTAGCGCTTTGTGTTAATGGGATTAAAATAGTTTTAGTGGTATTAACTTTGGAATTTGAGGCCTGTTCATACATTTCTATAATTTGTTGTAGATTGTCCCAGTCTGTTAGCGAACCGATCCCAATAGTCAAATCATCAGCATAAGCAGCCACTTTAAAACTATTGTTGACTACCTGTATTCCCTGAAGACTATTTATTAACTTTTGTAAAAAGGGTTCAAAGGCGATTACGAACAGAAGTGGAGATAATGGATCACCCTGTCTTACACCACGCTCAATTCTAAAGGGTTCAGAGAGTATGCCGGCATCTGTAATGTATGCCACCTGATTTAGAAGCAATTGATGAACAATTTTAACAAATTTTGGAGCGAAATTCATTTTTTCCATAACTTCCTTTAGATATACATGACTGATTCTGTCAAATGCCTTCTGTTGATCAATGAAGATCATCCAATGTTGCCTGAATTCCTCTGATTGATTTCTTAATACAGCTAAAATGTTCAACACAGAGTTCATAATTGAGCGATTAGTTATAAACCCTTGTTGGTGGGTTCCTATGACTTCTTGACATATTTTATTTACCCTATTTGCCATGATCTTTAAAAAAATTTTAGCATCACAATTAGTTAATGAAATAGGTCGCCAGTTATTTAACTCCTCTAGTCTTTCAGATTTTTTCGGTATTAAAGTAATAATGCTTTTACACCAGGATCTCGGTATTTTCTCATTGTTTAGGATCATGTTAAATAACTTTTTTAGAACAGGTACAATTAATTTCCTATTTTCTTTGTAAAACTCGTATGATAATCCATCTGTACCAGGTGTTTTATTTCTAGGGAGTGACTTTATAACCTCCTCAATTTCTTCAAATGTTATCTCTTTAATTAGGTTAGAGTTTAGCTCCTCAGGTACAACTCGAGCAAAAGCAGAGAACTCCGCTATCGCTTCTACCTCTACTTTGTCTGATTTATATAGTTTCTCATACTCTCTTTTTGCATACTGTAGGATGTCTACCAAAGTTGCTTCAGCTGTGGAGTTAGGTATGCGTACCTTAGTTGTAAAACTATTAGTGTGCCTAGTTTTGTATCGGGTAAAAAAATACTTAGTTGAACGTTCTCCTTCTTCGACCCATCGCGTGTTAGATAAAACCTGCCATTTTTCTGCAAGAATAGTAAGTTCATCCTGTAAATCATTTTGAAGCTCTTCTATTACCGCTCTTAACTCTTCTTTTTCTGGACATTTAATTACTTCTTCTTGTAACTCTGTTATCCTTTTTTGTAGTTTACAGATTTTTCTTTCTGGAGAGGGCTCAGGTTTATATTGTCGAATTGTTGCTTGAATCCGAATTTTCTGTAAGTCCCAAGTATCTATTGATGTTTGTTCTTGCAATTTCTCCTCAATGCTCCTTCTAATATTGTCATTTGCCAAGCATCTAGGATTAAATTTCCAATATGATGTATGTTGAATTTCTGGTTTAAGGTTAAATGTACATTTGACCAACAAGTGGTCTGAGTTTCCGAACAGTGCTTGTGTATTTTGACAGAATTGTACATGGTCACTATCAACAAAGACGTAATCAAGTCTAGTCATCATCAACTGATTATTTCTTGTTTTTTGCGTATAGGTTGTAAAAGATCGTTCTGAATTGTTTACAGTATCTACGTAATTTTCCATAATTTGTAAGAGCTTACCTAGCGAGGGGTCATAATGCGCTGGTACTTGACTGATTCTATTTATTTGTGGATCAATGTTTACGTTGAAGTCACCTGCAACAATACTCATCATTGTTTCATCTGTTTCTGGAGCCCATTCTTCAAAAAATTTGATTCTTTCTGAGACATGTGGTGGTGCATATACGTTAGTTATCTTACAAGTATGTTGCCGGATTTTTGCAGTTCCTGTGATTACTCTTCCACTATGGCTTGCTTTCATATTACATAGCTTAACACCATGATTACCAGATAAAATTGCTGCTTTTGTTGTCCATAAAGAGTCGTATGGCCATTGCTTTTTCAAAAAATTTTGTGTTTCTTTGTTATTAAGATTTGTCTCCTGAATTAAGATTAAGTCTATATTGTATGACTTCAATAAGGTGAATGTCTTTGTACATTTATTCCGATTGTTTAAGCCTTTTACGTTTATTGTGGCTAAAGTAAATCTATATTTACTCATTATAATATGCTAAAATTATTGTCTGTTGCAGTCAGAGTTACTAGTAATAGAGGCACGATGACCTTTATTGCCTCCTCCTCTTTTGTATGGTTTGTGTCTCTCAGAGTGTAGGTCTGTTACAGATGAGGATTTCATACTTCTCTTTTTGCGAGTTACTAGTGTAAATTCCTCATCTTTTGGATTATTCATTTCCTGATCTTCTGCAGAGTCATTGGGGGTAATTTCTTGTAGATTTTGAGTTTCCGCTCTACTGGGAGTTCTCTGTACACTCAGGTCCATTTCATGCTCAATCTCCTTTTCTGTGTTTTCTTCTGTTATCTCTATATTCTTTGTTGATGTTGATTCTGTTGCTTTTTCTACATCATTTGTTTTGCCGATTCCATCATTATCCTTTCTTGCCCTATTCGGCTCTATATATGGGTTATCTCCTGAATATGAGTGTGAGTCCTCTATATTATCATTCACTTTATGTGCCTCTTGGCTAATTTTATATGCTTTATAACGGTTTCTTATTTCTACTGCCTCTTTATACTGTGGACAGTCTGCTTTTATATGGCCCTCGAGATCGCAATAGAAGCAAACCTTGGGTGCTGTTTTCCATTCGATTAAGACCTTTTGCTCAAGAATATGTGTGTGGCGGGGAAGCCTTTTCGTTAATGTAGAGTCATTTGTACTGTCATACACCACAATCCATTGATTAGATAGAATCGGTGTTCCTTCATATAATAAAGGTTTGATCGATATCAAAACCCCAAAGTCATTCATTGCTTCCTTAATATGGTTGGAGATAGTCTCTTTTTCACCTAAGGGCACATTGCGTAGTTTAACTGAAAATATTGTTCTTCTTAAGTTAGTGGGAATGTATCCGAATAAAGTCTGTTTAAATATAACGATTCCCTCTGTCGCATACTTTTGTACACTTTCCTCATCTTTAAACACTATTTCCAGATACGTTCTTCGCCCCCTAACAAAGTGAGGTTTTGCGGCAATAAGGTTGCTTCCCAACTGGTTATATAATGCAGAAATAATTTCATTTAGGGGAATGTTGATTAAACTTTGAATGTTTAGCATTAGAGCATTGTCATTCTTGGTTTTAATCCTTTCTTTAGGAGAAGCCACTGAAAAAGTAGCTTTTCCTCTTTGCATCTTTGTAAACAAGCTGGACCATTTTCTTGGAGAGTCTTGTTCAACTGTTGTTCCATTGGCTTTTTCTTCTTCTATACGCATTGTCTCCAGATCTGTTTCTGCAGATCCTTCAGAGTCACATGACTCAATTTCGCTCAATGATGTGTCTGGGTTTATTCCAGTACTTTCCATATTAATTCCCGTAGAATTTTCCGCTTTCTCGTTCAAGGATGATTGTGCACTTTGAACCATATCTTTCTGAAGTGATATCTTTCCCTTCCTGTATGCAGCTTCCGTATCCTCTGCCCAGTCTGTATTATGACTAGTTAAATCTGTAAGAGTTCCTCCTGTGTGGCTTTTCTGTTCCTTGACAACTTTCTGGTTGTTAGTGAAATCTGAGCTTTCGTTCTCTTTATTTTGATTTTTGCGACTGCTATCTTGCGTTTTGACGCGTTTTCTTTCTGCTCCTGTGTCTATCATCTTGCGTTTCCTTGGTACAAGGGCTAGAGCCCTTGTTTTCCTTAAAATTTGAGGTTTGGCCTTTTTTTCTTGTCGAATTTTCCTTAGCTCCAGACACCCGGCACAATTACTATGCAGAGTGACTGATGATCTATATTTAAATTTTAAAAATAAAAATATAAATATTAAAGTTAAAATTAAAATTAAAAATAGTCAAATTATATATAAAA